AAGCATCGTCGCTCACTCGTGTGTGGCGGTAATAGTGCACCTTCACTACGCGTTCCAGACCAAGCAAAAGCTGTACTTTGTGATCGACTACTGTCCTGGCGGCGAGCTCTTTTTTCACTTGAGCCGCATGGAGCGGTTCCCAGAGCCGATGGCAATGGTGTACGCTGCCGAAATCACGCTCGCATTGGACCACTTGCATTCGTTGGGCGTCGTATATCGGTACGACGAGTCGGCGCCATCGCGTCGACCACGTCCTGGAAGGTGCTGCGTAGGGATTTGAAGCCGGAAAACATATTATTCGACGCAGTCGGCCACGTCCTCTTGGGTACTGTCTGCATCGTGGATGCCACCCGCGTGCATGGTCTCTCACGTCAGCTCTGTCGTCGGTAGCGGATTTTGGCCTGGCAAAGGAAGGCATTACAGAAGGCGCAGAAGGCACGAACTCGATGTGCGGGACGCCCGAGTACCTTCCGCCCGAGATTCTCGACCGCGTCGGCCACGGCACGTCGGTCGACTGGTGGGCGCTCGGTACGTTGTTTGCTTGCCATTCATCCAGTGACGAGCCTGTGCAGGCATGGTCTTGTACGAAATGCTGACGGGGCTGCCGCCATGGTATACGCGGAACCGGCAAAAGTTGTTTGATCGGGTGCGCCACGCGCCGCTGACGTTTCCCGAGTACGTGAGTCCGAACGCGCAGTCGTTGATCGCGGGCTTGCTCAACCGGAATCCCGTCGACCGACTCGGAAACGCGACCGTGAACGACATCAAGACCCATCCGTTCTTTGCCACGATCGATTGGGACAAGTTGATGCTGCGACAGGTCCCGGCGCCGTTCAACCCGTGCGCGACGTTGGCCAGCAACGACGAGACCAAAAACTTTGAAGCTGACTTCACCAAGATGCAGCTCCACTCGGTCCCGGACGCATCCAACATGCAAGGGAGCAGCTACCGCGCCTCCATGGACGCCCGCAACTCGATGACGTTCCAAGGCTTCACCTACAACACGCCGAGCGACCTCAACGACATTAGCGAGCGCAACTCGACCTTGACGCAGTTCTAGCCACGGCGGACACGTCGTCAATATAAAAACAAAATAGATGGTCGCGTCCCGGTACAATCCATAGTGCGAACTGTGTCGTAGGTGGCGCTGCCGCCAACGACGCGTCGTTGAAACGCAACTGGTGTGGTTCGTGACGCAAGCGACGGCCGGCGGCCGCAAGACACGGCCTCGTCCACCACGACGCCAAAAGTCTCGACGACGTCCGAGCGTGAAGCCGGCGACGTCATTGCCCCCGAACCGTCCGTCACGGTGCAAGGCTGCCTATGTCCTTGGGACATTCCTGGCACGGCGATGAATGCTTCGGTCGCGGGTGCTCACCGCAGCGCGAAGGCGCTACATTGCTCGAAGGACTGCGGAAACGAGCGCTGCTCTTGCCTCATGGACGAGCCCAGACAACACCAGCCTTCCATCATGGCCCATGCCGTCCAAAGGAGCGACGGCAAACGCGGCGGCATCGCGACACCCCCGACGACACGATCGACCCGTCCAAAACCAGCCACACCGTCGGCGGCCAACGGGGGCGCCGTGTTCATAAAAATACGGTCGGCGGGCCGACGACTTCGTTACATGGTGTACATGGCGGACTGGCTCGCCATGCTGCTGCTGCTCGTGTCCTCGAGGAGGGCGATTGTGTTGACGCTGCTGCTGTTGGTCGCGTACATGTGTTGGTTGTCGTAGTCGACGTCGCACCGCGTGTACTTTAAGATGTAGTCGCAGTCCATTTGTTGCAAGTTGCCGACAAATGGGACGTGGGGATGGCGAATGTCCTTGATGTCTTCGGTGGCGACGCGTTGGAGGGACCGAATGAGTTCGCCGATGGTCGGGCGCTCGGTGGGCTCGACGTGCCAGCACAGGTGGATCAGGACCTTCCATCGCGGCGGACATGAGTGTGGCGCGATGGACGGACGCTTCCCGTCCAAGATGGCGCGCTCGATTTCGTGGTTCCACCGGAGTTGTTCGTACGGAAGCTCCTTGCCGTCGATCATTTCCCACAGAATCACCCCCAGCGAGTAAATGTCAATCTTTTCCGTGTACAGCTTCTTGCTTTGAATCACTTCGGGCGCCATCCACCGCGTCGTCCCGACGAGGCCGGTCATCTCGACCGACTTGATCTGTGGGTTCTGGTTCCGGACGATCTCGGCGAGGCGGAGCGTTCCAAAGTCGGCAATTTTGGCGTGCCACGTTTCGTCGACAAGGATGTTGGGGCTCTTGAGGTCGCGATGAATCATGCGCGAATTGTGCAAGTACTGAAGGCCGTACGCGAGTCCGAGCGCGAGGCGAATCTTCATCGGCCACAGCAGCGGCGACCGCAGGACGTCGCGTAGCGACCCGCGCGCGCAGTACTCGCTGACAATGCAAATCGACCCATGGTAGAACCCGGCCTCCATGAACAACACAATGTTTGGATGCGTCAACCGCTTCATCACGAGCGCTTCCTCTTGGATTTCCTGGTTGCATTCATGCACAAACGCGGCGTCCGCGAGGGCGTCGTCGTCGACAAACAGCGTTTTCATCTTGACCGCGACGACCGCGCCGCGCCACGTGCCTTTGTACACGACTGCGATCCCCTGTCCGATCTGCGGCCCGATCTCGAGACCGACGAGCTCCTTGGGAGGCGGCAGGTTTCGGCTCGACTGGGCGGCTTGCGGCCCTAGCATTAGATGGAGATGATGGCGGTGGCTCAGATTCGACGGTTGTTTCGATAACGGCGAACACCACGGCAGCCGACTCGAGTACACAAGGGACGTCCCGAGCGGCCACAATGCAAATAGCACGCTCGCAATTTGGCCGAACAAGTCGGCCGGAATCGAGTCTTCCGAGGCGGCGGCGGATGTCGCGTTCGTGTCGGGACTGGACGATGGCGGTAGCGCCAGCGACAACACGTCGTTCGTGATGTTGGGGGTGACGCAACCGACGAAAAGCAGCATGTACCCGACCAACTTGCCAAGGATAATGGATTGACCGAGTTGGCCCGTGCGAAGTTTGTGGGCACGCACGGCGCACAGCCCGTACGACACAGTGACGAGAGTGACCACGGCGAACGCGTCCCAAATGATGCGCGCCAGTTTGTTCAGTTGCTCGATGGTACACAGCAACGCGTACGACTCAAGGGCCATGTATAGCATGACGCATGTCCACACGACGGCATGGGCGTACGCGATCTCAAACGACGGGTGGCGCGCTTGCCGCGACAAGATGTACAAGACGAGTGTCGCGGTCCACAGGAACGACGAGATCTCAAAGCTCCAGTGCGGGGCGCCAAGGAAGATGTGGATTGCCCAGTTGGATACGTCCAGGACACGGGCTATCGTGAAGAGGGCGCCTGTTGTGGAAAAGATGAAGTCGGACATGGCGGTGAAGCACAGGATCTTGGACGAGGTGGTCGGGCTATTCCGCAGCGACAGGAGCATGAACAGCGCGCCACACGACGACAACACTTGGCAGCATATCTTGACGATGGTGACGACGAGTTGCGAAGGCTCGAGCGATGCTGCCATCGCATGTGCCGACAGACCAGTCACCGACCACGCCGCGCTAGAGTCAGTGCACGAAACTTCGAGTAACGGAGTCCGGTTACACTCTCTCCTATCCGGACATCCCCGACACTGGCAGGTCGAACCGGCGGCGGCGCCACGCAGCATGCGCCAGCCGACGCCAGCGCCATTCTGGCCACGATAGCCCGCCGAGAGATGACGAATCTTGATAAGGCGGTGGGTCGGACCTTGACAGGCGTTCTCGTGGATGCTCGTGAAGACCACGCAGCACGGACATTGGACATGTTTGTCGTAGAGGGCGGTCGACCGGCAGTACGGTAACACAACCCGTTGCAGATGGTGCAGGTCGTGAATGGCGGCGCCGTGCGAGGGCAGCATATCCCTCGCCCATAAAAATGTCTTTGCACAAAACCCACGGACAAGGGGGGCGCTGTCGTGGCCGTCAGCTGTGCGATCATCGGATGTCCGCCCATCGTTGTCTGTCCTGTGGAAGAAATCCAGCGTTGGTTCGTACACTTCACACCGTGCAGATTCCGCCAAGTCCCACAACAGCACAAAACAGGGGGGTCTGCTGCCATCCATCCGGCAAGCACTCCTCGCCGTGAAACACACCGCCGGTTTTGAGCCAAGTACCGCGCTGCCACGGAGACGTGGCACATCCCTGTGGGCCGTCGTGTCCATCAGCACAGAGGTCGCCCCCGCGCGGCCGCCCGTCACATGAGCCCGCGAATTGTTCCGGCGGCGTATGCAACAAAACAATATTTTTGGAGCTTTTTTGCATTTTTTGCAATACACACGCGCATATTCCATCGTAGAACTAGTATGTTTGGATTGGCGAAAAAAGTGGCATTCGTTGACAATCATTGGCTATATTTTGTGGATTTCAGCAAATCATATGGCGCTATGTATCCGGCAAGGTAAACCAATCAGAATCCACGGCGACCGACGGGATATTTCATTCGACCACACACCACTCGTGCGCCGAGGACAGCCGCTGTCATCCTCGCCTCCGACGAACTGCATGCGAACGCACTCCTGGACTTTGGGAACGAAGGGGGGGCGCGACAAGGGAGTTGAAGACGACGACATGGGACGACAGGCCAAGGTCCAACTCAACGACACGTCCGGACAAATTCAAGCGCAGACAAGATCACCAAGTCCATCAGGCGAGCAGCTGCGAACAGCATTGACTCAGCCCGTCGTCATTCGTCCTCTTGACGATAGCGCACAAAATGTAGCAGTGCAACCTCTTGACATTCAAGACGCCTCATGATGCGCATTGCGTCGTCATGGCAATGTATATGAGCATGCAAGACGATGCAGTGTGGGGACGTTTTGCTCTGTAGTTGAGCACGTGTGGTCACGGGGCGAAGGGTGGCGACGGCATCTCTTGGTTTGGTTCAAGCGGAGTCGTGCCACAACGATTTCAATTGTGCTTTGAGTCGTCATCTCGCCATGTCCGGTGTAAAGTGCCCACCACTCGAGTCGACGGCGCGGCGTACTGCGATCGACAGTCGAAGGCTTGCGTTGGAACTCGGGAACTTTTCGTGCGCACCACCTCGTCTCTGTTGCCTGCGTCTGGACTAGCAACATATCCGCTGGGTATCGGATCGTACGCCATGCTGCCGCCGCTTGACGTCCTTTACGGCATCCGACCGCACTGGTTACCTTCTTGGTACGGCAAATCCAAGACGGGATGTCTTCAGGAAGGCGGGAGAGGGCACGAGCTACAGCACAGCAAACCAGCGGCCTTGAGCGGCACGTGGTCGATGCACAACAAGCAAGTCGTGGCACTCTTGAAATGCGATTCCTTCGTTGTGGTAGAAGTCGACACTCGATTCAACCGGTGGTACATCCAATGCAATATCGTACTGTGCTAGACGCTGCTTCAGTTTAAATATGATAACGGGGGACATATCCCTCCTGAGCGGTGAGTGCCCCGTGGTGCCTGAGAAATGCCGCAACGTCAACGCGGCCGTGCTGGACAGCTCCAGACAGCGCCGCGCGGGAGCAGACACACAGCGCATGGGCATGGAGGTACTGCACGACATGCAAATGTCCCCCGGCAGCGGCCCCGTCCATCGCGACTTGCGTGCATCCTTCGGGTCGGTGGGTGTGGAGCCACGCGACGGCGTCGAGGCGTCCGTCGCAGGCAGCGAGGTCCATCGCCTGCGTTGTACATCCTTCTGTTCGATTCAGATGTAGCCATTGCACGACATCCCAGTGGTCGTAACTCAGCGCCAAGTTCATCGCGGCAACGGTGCATCCTTCCGAGCGATTTTCGTGCAGGAATTCCACGACGTCGAGGTGACCCTTGGCCGCAGCCTGATCCATGGCGTTTGTCGTACAGCCCTCCGTTCGATGGCGATGGAGGAACGCGACAACGTCCAAATGGCCGTTGGCCGCCGCCACGTCCATGGCAGCGGGAGTCCAGATGCTGTCAGCGTCATCGTCGATATCATCGTCGGCGATGGTCTCATGCAGGAACTGCACGACTTGCACGTGGCCAAACTCACACGCCCATTGCACGGCTCGGATCGAGACGCTCGTGTCACCCCATTCGTGCAGAGCGCGAAGGACGTCGGTTTGGTTTCGCAGACAAGCGAGGTCCCACAGGTCGCTGTCGACAGTGGCGACGTCACAAGCAGCGTGGAGGCAGCCCAGGAGGCCCAAGTCGCCCTGGTACACAGCATACTGCGTGAGCAGAGCGTGGGTATGCTCTAGCCTCGCGACAAGGTCCGCGACTCGCGATAGCCCATGGTCGCGCCGCCACGGTGCAAGCACGACGTGGACGGCCAGCATCCTCGCCGCCAACGTCGTCGGGCGAAACAGCGCGTTTGGCACAGCCCGAAGGCACAGGAATGCCTTCATGTCTGCATGTATCCCTCGTTGGAATCCCACCACGAGAGCGAGGAGGTCTTGCGACCGCAGCGCCTCAGACGACGCCATCGCGACTGCGGGAGAGAGTCGAGCGCGACTTTGGTCGATTTTTCACCCAAATCCGAGTCGGCCATTGGTTCAACCGTTAGCGAGCGAAAATCAGACGCAACTATGCAACAAGCGGCGAGGTCGACAGCACCAACGGCTTCGCTTGCAGGGGGCGGCGCGTGAAAGCATAAGCGCAAGTGGCACGAGCCCTTGAAGGGGGAGGATGGCATCATGTCAAGATGAGGTCGAGGCTGTATGCAAGCAGATACGCTGACGTTTGTGGAGATTGGCGGCTCCAACATCACCGATGGCTGCATTGTCTGGTGGCCCCCATACGGATACATTCGCTCATGGGGCCATCGTTCAGACATAATAGCCACGGAGAATAGTTCGCCCCTGCGTGCAGTCGTAGCATGCCGGAACGTCCTGTTGAGGCTCGGCACAGTGCACACGTGGCAGAGCTCAGTGTGCAGTATGTTGAGGGAGTCATGGAGACGCATACGGGGACAGCTGCGTCAATGTGTCGTAGCTGCAGCAGATCGATGCAATCCCTCAGTGTCAGGCGCATCTGGCGCACAACCGTCTTGTCGCGGTGGTACGCCAGGACGCAGCAGTCTGCGCCGCGGTGGCTGAACAATGGCATCCGGCGGAAGCTCGGGCGTCGCTGGATCAGCGTGTACAACGATCCGCCTTCCAACGGTACTTCGTACGCCACGCGGCGCATGGCGATTTTCAGGACAAACCGGGACTTGACGTCGTTGTACTGGCGAGGACAAAAGTGCCGACCCGAGAGCAAGTCGTCGTGGGGTTGCGCGCCGCCCCAGAGACGTCGAACACGCCGACCCAACGTCACACTGGTTGAAGCCGTCACTGGCACAGACGCCATGACGATCGACCAAAAGGCACACCCTAACGAAACGAACGCGTGTTGGACGGACGTCGTCGACATGGCATTGTACCTGGCATGACTTCCATGTAATAGTCCCTGTCTTGTGCTGGCGCGGCGACGTCCCACAGCGCGTGGATCGGGACCATCAAGGACGTATTGCCCACGAGCAGGAGAATCGGGCCTCCATAAAAGTACGCCATCACCCCCAGGAAGGACGGGTCGACGGGCGAAAACCACCTTTCCCAGCAACATCGCTTGGCCACTCGCGACAGAATCCACATCATCAGATAGCCATTCCAAACCTACAGCAACGCGTTAGGGCCCAACCGAGCGAGGAGGCGCCGTGAGACGTACGTAGCGAGACGTGTACATGCAACCGAGTAGAAATTGCCACCAGTCCTCGTACTGACTGACTCGCTCCGTCGCAATCGCGACGTACGCCATGCCAAGCCAAATATCAAGCACCATCACGATCGAAACGACGGGATCCCGGAGGATTTGGTACGTCGGGTCGCCCACGATCACTTCGTACGCGGCAAACGGTGCGTCATCGTGCACGCCGACCGTCCGCAGATTGTGGACGAGGCCGGCATAGTGTTTGTAGTACCGACGCCAGAGCACACTCAAGATGTACGTGGTGAGCAGGCATCGAAAGAGCAGTTTGCCCCAGCACCACCCGACGTTCTCCCAAATGATCATGGCATGGTACACCACAACGTCGCGCGGGTGTGGCGTCGATTCAAACCACACGCACACTTCGCCGAGGGGCAACCCCGCCATGACGGCATGGAGGCAGTGATGCCATGGCATGCCACGTCGTTGGCTTGCCGAAGCAGCGAGAAAGGTGCACACAAATCGGCGCATGCCTGCGCCATACAGACCCGCCCCTGTCGAAACACGTCTGGATCGCCGTGTGCATCAAGCAATGCATACCTGGCATGTGGACCAAGTACTCGACGCACGTGTCGGTCGAAGGGGGAAGCGGCCGAACGAGTCGAAGCACGTTCGAGTTGGTCGCGCCGTGTCGATAGCACACGCTGGACGCGGGCATCGTCGCGTTGTTGTAGATCGACTGCAAGTACGCTGCTGTCATCGTGCTGTATTCGGTCGATGTCGTTGCATTCCACGCAGGATGCACGGCCGCAGGAAGCGCCCATGGAAACGGCTCGGTCAAGTACGCAAAGAACGGCTACAAACGTGTCAGCGTGCCAACACGACGACGCCTTCACGTACGGTGGTCGCGATCTTGATCGTAAACACCACGTTGTACAAGAGCGACAGCCGATTGAGGTGCACGGACGGCGGCAGCCGACCAACTACAGCGACGGGCCCTGCACTATGAACCTTGCTCATGGCAAGGGGGTCGTGGGGACCGACGATGATGTAGCGGTTACTCGACGGCGGCCGTTTTACGGCAACGACGCGAGCTGTGTCGGCATTTGGACGTAACCTGCGCCGCGGCGCAAACGGGGCGGTCGATAAGCCGGGAGCAAACGCCACACACGTGAAGGCATGGATCGTGGGACGTCGCACGACAAACGAACTCTGCAAAATTGCCCATGGAGCCGGGTTATTATCCAGGGGGGCTTGTTCGCCCCTTCATGTCCCTGCAATGCAAAGCGGCAGCACTGGGAGGTCGGCCAGCAATAGTCGGTGCCGCGATGGCTCAAGAGTAGTAGCTCCAGCTACTACGCTGGACCAGCGTGCTCAACGATCGCCGTCCAACGGCACTGCATACACCACTCGACGCATGGCCACCGATACCACACACACCTTCATGTCGTGCCGTCGCAGACAGAGGCGCGCCCTCCATTTAGAAAGGCTTGGTGGGGATCGGCTCGAGCACCAACCAGTCGTCCAACTAGTTGTCCTCGTGTCCACCTGGTTCACGACCCTCGCCCGCATGGATGCCATTGCATTTACCGTCCAGAAAATGCAACGTGTGGGATGTGGAGCGTCCTGAGGCGGGAGGTGTAAGGGCCGCCACATCCTTGGCACGGTATACAGGTAATCGTCCCGTTCTCCAGAAGAAACGCCAACGTCCCACACCATGTGCATAGCCACTATCAAGGCGGTGTGGCCCACGAGATGAAGCATGGAGCCTCCGCAAAAACATGCAATGATCCCCGACAACGACTACCCCCAGCAATATCGCTTGGCAACGCGCTCTAGATCCAAAGCATCATGTAGTCAGCCTAGACCGACAGCGCAGTGCCATGCAGGTCCCGAAACCACAAGACACCGAAACTAACGTAACGAGACGTGTACGTGCCACCGAGTAGAAATGGCCACCAGTCCTCGTACTGACTGACTCGCTCCGTCGCAATCGCCATGCCACGCCAAATATCAAGCGCCAGCACAACCCAAACGACGGGATTCCGGACGATTTGGCAATTCACGATCACTTCGAACGTGGCAAACTCGTCGACCGCCCGCAGATTGTTGAGGACGACGTCGTCGTGCGTCGCGAACGTAAGCAGCCGCATCGATGTGGTTGCTGAAAACGAGTTCGCCCCAGCACCATGAAACACACAACAGGCGCGGTACACTCACAAAGTTGACAGTCGACGACGATGCCAAGCACAACCAGACGTGCCCCATGTGCAGTGTGGCCATCCGGAGCAATGACTCCATGGCCGCGTTCGGCTCAAATGACGGTGCTGTGAGAAAGGTGCAGGTAGTGCGTCCCAGTTCCGTAGAATCCCGCGCTGTCGTCCCAGCAGCCAGTGTGCTATGACCATACCTGCATCGAGGCGATGCAGGTATGGTCCTAGCTCAAGAGGTGTGACCTGCTTGTACATAATATTGAAACGTGATGAAGGGAGGGATGGCCAGTGTGACACCGAGATCGGGATGCAGGTCATGCTTCCGTATTATCTCGTCACGGAATAGTGGCGCTTCGAGACTCGACCTCATCGCACGCACTCGCTTCCGCGTCCTGTCGTTTGGCAGGAATAGTTGTGTTCGAATCGTCGTGTCGTCAGCTATGAAGACCGCCGACGACCTGCAAGTTCGTGGCAGGCCGCTCGACCTCCCGTCAAGATGAAGCAACCCAGAGCGCGGTGTCTGATCGACTTGTGCTGGCACCACGAGCTACAGCCACGGTCATGTGCCGCTGCGACGACCTGGTGTCCTGCATCGGGTTCGCTGTCGTCGTTTTTCAATCCATGGCACTCGGCAACATCGACATCATCCACACCTTCGCCACGCTCCACACGCAAGTTGCTGCTGTAACCGCGTGACATGCAGGACAACTGCGTTGTTGGATGGTGGCATACGTATGCAGGGTGATGGCTCAGATAGTCCATGGCGTGGGCTCGCCAGAGGCAGTCCGTTGCCCTTGAGGGGGTGGCGGCGCACGGAGCATGCAATCAAGTCAAAGGATTCCATTGACATTGCCATGGCACTGTCGAGATCAAGTCGCCAACGTATGCATCGTCACAACGTATGCAAAAACGGTCCACGACGTCGGTTTTGCTCTCACCTTCGTGGGCATTCCAACGAAACAACAGCCATTCCGAAACGACGAGTCCACAGAGACAGCGGCGATAACATGCCACGAAAACATGGCGTCAGGCCAGTCGAAGCTTCGTCTCGGGCATGCCACGTTCGCTTCAATCGTCTCTCCGTTCTGTACAACATTTGCTTTACGCTCAAACTCGTCCTGACCGTACGTTCCGTCGCAGCGATGGACGGCTCACGTTGGCATGTAGCCGTTGTTTGCATACTTGACGGAACCATTTCCGTGGGCGATTCCACCGCCATTCGATCCGGCGTGGAATGCCACAAACGAGGCCGACTTTAGCGCGGCGACCGCCACGTACCTCCAATCCATCTACAACAACCGGACGTTGTCGCCGTCGACCGTGTGCCATCGCGACGTTGCGACCAATTCGCACGCGATTCGAATGCGCCGATTGCTGCCACCGTCCGAAACCGATTGCATTAAGTACTTGGTGCATCTCCCAGGTGCTGCTGTGTAGTGCATGTTGTGTTGGCATTCACGGAGCGAACGTTGTCTAGCCGCGGGGCAGTACGGCGCCGGCATGCGGCGTTTGGTGTGCACGTTCCTCGCCCAGTCGGATCGAGCCCACGTGCCGTGGTACCACTGCGAGCACGTGCACATGTTGGGCTTGCCGACCGGGGACGCGTGTGTGTGGTTTGAGCAGTCGTCCGTGTCCCACGAGCCCGACGAGTTTATGGTGTACCACGCGTTCTTGATTTGGGAAAACCCAGTGCTGAGCTGGTGCAAACTCGCCTTTCGATGCGCCCTCGCGGCGTACATTTTGCGCGTGGTGTGGCGCCGGTACTACACCCACTACACCGTCTTGGTGAACAACCTGACGGCGCATCCCATCCGCGACGACCGGTCGATTGATTCCGTCGAGGTCGTGATGGGCGATCCGACCTACTTGGTGCTCAGCAATCCGTTCGTGTTGCTCGTCATGATTGTGGACATGTGGCTCGGGATATCGTACGTCGCGATCGCCGCCGCACGCGCGAGTCAGTACGAAGACTGGATGAGTTTTGCGCTCGGGTGCGTGTACAACGCTCGATTTGTACGGTGCCTCCCCATGCACACCACGTCCACGCTCATCCATTGCATCCAGGTGTGGGCTGGTTACATGATGATGTGGATGCTGTCCAGAGCTGCCAAGCGGCGCGGTTTGGAGGGGTCGTTTGCCCCCGTCGATCCGGCACACTTGGGCGTGTTGGCATACTTGTATGCTGGCCCGATTGTCCTCTTGTTGGCACGAACGACCATGATGGTCATGTACCATCGTCTTTGGGACTTGTTGGTCCCGACGAGCGCCCTTGAGAGCCATATCGAGACGTTGCCAGGTGCGGTTGCGCCGTGGATGGAGAACACATGAAATTGATATGACTAGGGTGCGTCCTGCTCTCCATGACGATGGCGGTCGTCCCGGTGGTCGCGTCAACGACTTGGGGGCTATGGCATCACCATCGCCGCATCTTTTGTGCCGCAGCACGCCGAGAGAAGAGCTTCAAGTGCCTGCGTGACTATTGTCCACGGCGGTACAACGATTTGAAGTCGCGACTCGTGCTGACTCTCGCTCTGCGGAATGTCACGTACGATGTCCGCTTCGTTGGCGGGGCGCTGTACAAGTTGATCGCACGCCGCCCCTGCATCCGACGGATGCCTCTGTTTAGCCACCGTGGCGCCGACTGCTGCATCGTGGCATACCGCGCCGATTCCACCGTCGCACTGGAACTCCGGCTCGTGTTGCTGGGCTGCCTCGACCTTCGACCACCCAACTCGATTGCCCACTCTGTTCGCTGCCGTCCATCTGGTGCTGCTTCGCCGTTTGGCGTGCTCAGCACAAGTCCATGCACGTTGTGTCAAAAACGTTCCTCCGACCCCAACGTGTGGTTGCGACTCCATCCCGGGGCGAACAAGTGCAAGTGGGTGCTCTATCCAAACGAAGACGCCAACGACAAAGTCTCGTTGTATCCCTCAAAGAAGTAGCAACTCCACGGTCGAAATCGATGAACATACTTGATGAAAATTGCCTTCTCGTATTTCAGTTGCCCCAACTCAACATTTAGTTACCCGAGCGATTCCGCGATGGCTAGGCATGCGCACATCGTCGAGTTCACGCGTCAGGCCCCTCGTGATGTCCTCTTTGACGCGCGGCTTATAGTCGTGGAAGCATGGAGTACACTTCTTGCGTTCGCCCTTGACCGTCGCAGTGATTTCGACCATTGGTGTTGAGCAGCCGTCAGGTGGAATGTGTCAGGGGATTCCGTCGATGTGGCTTTTTCAAGGGAACTCTTTCGTCAGTCATGAATGTCTCGGCATCCTTGTCAACATTGCGCACCACAAGCAGTTGGGGTGCGAGTCCTCTGCCAAGGGACTCCACGGACACCTCGCGACGGCACACCAGGACCATCCATACCAAGTGGTTGTGTTGTTTGAGTGAGTGCGATGCCAAACGACTAACCATAACGAGGTCGGGAAACCACAGGGAGCGCCGGGATTGGTGAAGGGTGGCGCATCGCAATGGCCAGCATTGAATTGTTGGCATACATGTCAATGATGCAAGGACAAGCGGCAAGGTGAGGTCAACCGAGTCGTTCAATCTCTGAACTCGCCCTTCCATCGAGCCAACCAGCACAAATGCGTTGGCGCGGTGGCAAACGCCGCGACGCCTCGCTCGGCTCTCATGGACGTCCGCAGTTGCATCGTCAACACGTTTGTCGCCTCACGGACGACAGACTAAGACAGTAGACATGCGACTTGTGCAGCGTTTCATGGACCACACATTTGACGGCAAAGTCGCGGCTGTGGGTAGTTCGCCTCGATTTGGAAGTTTGGCATACTCCCTTGACCTTACTTGGAATTGTTGGTGCTGGAATCGACGGACGAGCTGCCCCCCTGACGACGCGACTACGAAAAATCATGGCCAGCTCCAATGAGAGCGTGATGCAGTGCGAAACAAGAAGCTCTTCGATCACGTCGACCAACCGCTCCCGGGAAACGCGCCCGTTCTACAACAATCGAACCAATTCGCCGCCACCCGAGTGTCTCCAATCCGCCATACTGTGAGACCGCCGTAAACCAACGTCCAGCGGCGATGAGTGGTTCCTGGATCGAGGGGGGGGAATATTATCCTAGTGCGATCGTTTTGCCATCGAGGACAGAGGCTGCTTCGACAAGTACCCTGTCCATACCTGCATTCACAAGATCGTCATGGCCCATTCGAGAACGTGGGGATTGCCCACGGGGCTCGGGGGAACGACGTACCCGAGATCAAGCCGCTTGCGTCCCCGCGCTGGAGGGCAGAGAAAGGTCCAAGTAGACTGCACCAGACCAATTGTCGACGATCACGGCGACTCATGCAAATCGAGGTAGCTAGGGACTGTGACGGCAATGACGAATTTGGTAAGGGAGGTTGCGGTCGACACCACTCTGACGGCGCTGTCCAAGCCCCACGATCACCGTCGTACCAAAACAACATCCTGCCGGCTGCCACCACACGTGGAGAGTGTGAGAAATGTATGTGTTCATGAGTAGGAGCTGTGTGAAGGTTGCGAAGAAGCGCTTGGTTCACATTGTTGTCATGTTCCCCCTTGACCGGGCGTGGCGATGCCTAGGTCATGCTTGGGATTGTTAACGCGGCTTGGCTGTGCCGCCGGCCCACTACGACAACTACACCTCCACGAAGGGCGAACTGGCAAGGTCACTGGCGAGGATGGCGACGTCGCTGGAGTCCTTCAACAGGTGGCAATCGCATGCTCTATCGTGTGTGGGGCTAGCCCAGCGGAGGTGCAAGGGCGGAAGGTTTGGCTATACGACATCGTGTCTCGATTATCTTATGGCATGAGCCGCCTCTCGCTCCTACTGAATGTTGAATGCTGTACAACGCCGCCGCTTCGTCATTACACGGACGTGATCGTTCGTAAGTTGCGGACGCTGGTCTGCTGGACTTGGAGGCTGCGAATGCGTTTTTCTCGCGCGCTGTCGACGGCGTTCGCAATGCCGCCGACAAGCGCCATGATGAGCATGGCGACGCCTATGAACACGCCCAAGACAACCGCCACCACGACCACGATCACCATGGCTTCGCTGCACCCGCCGTCACAGTCACCGCAGCCGTCGCCACAGCCGCAGTCGTGGCAGCTCGTGTGTTGGTGGTCGTGGTGGTCGCACGAGAAGCAGCACAAGGTGCAGTCGCAGTTGTACGATTCAAATCGGCTACGCGCACACCATCGCAAGACCCACACGATCGCCATCACAATCAACGTCATGGCCAAACTCAACACGACGTAGACGAGGTAGCGCGGCACGCTCGGGAGCCCGACCCAAGCGTAGATCTTGCCGTCCAACGCGTTCCAGTGAAGGTTCATAAACTTGGGCGTCCCGGCGTCCACGAGCAAAACGACCCAACTGCCCACGAGGACAATGGCTGCAAACACGACCACGCGCGACACTTGTGCCCAGAAGATCGGCCGCTCGAGCGCCACGACTTGTGCCGTCGCGATGGTTTCGTACGCTTCCTTGCATGTGGGGCAATGGGTCATCGCGTTGTACGTGTTGGACGTGGCGCGCCAATGGTTCAAGCACTTGCGATGGACGACAGACCGGCACAGACACGGCGAGATGAGTTCGAGGGGAGACCCGTCGACCATGTCGCATGTTGATTCCATGCACATGTAGCACTGGGGCATCGCATCATTCGACGCTTGACTGTGCCTCTCAATGGACGTTCGGATCGCGGCGGCAATCGGCGCCACCGGGCTGTCGGCGCCGGCGAACGTGGCGGTTGCCATCGCTCGAGCCAAAATCAAAAGTGTACGAAAGCACACATGCTGTGGTCACAAACGTCAAGTGACCTCAATTCGCAGAGTGAATGTTTTCCAACATCCACGTTTTACTCGAATAACCATTCTTGCAGTCAAAGGAGTATGTCCGCCGAGTCGGCCCACCACTCTCAGCTCCACCCACTCGACAACACGACACACGAGCTGCATGTACATGTAGCGATGGGTGGTTGTGCTACCCTAGGCTGCTCCATTGCGTCCGCACCGTGCGTTGGCGAGGTTGTGCCATCCCTCAGTCGAAGCATGCCGTGCCCAGCAACCTGCACGTGGCTTCCTTCAGTGCGGCGCCGAGCAGTACCCCATTTCGTGGGCACGGCTGCATGCTAGCGAACCTGCATGCTGTCGCTTGAGTTCTTGTCGACGGCGTACCCCTTCATGGAGGTTGCGTTTAACCCCACCGTGCCAACTTACGTTTATGAATTTGGTCGAGTCACGCGACCGCCAGGCCCACGATGTGCCACAAATATTACACATCATATGAATAATTCAGTGCCAACGTGCACTCGACACCACGAAAAAATGGGATCGGAGGTCGCGGTGCGGGCGAGATGTTCCTGCTTGTGCATGGTGCTCGTGCGGTGGGGCTAGAAAAGTTGCGGAGGTTGGGCTCGATCGACCGATCCGTGCGGCGAGATTGGGTTGCACGCTCGGCTCGCTTCTCCCGCGAACGTATCGCATGCTTCATGGCTGCCGTGCGCCTTGCGTGCTCAAACGTGTTGTACCCAAATCGTGGCGCTCTCGGTCGGAACGAGTGAGCATCAAGCATGCTGCCGCTGTGGCCACTTGCGCAAGCTTTGGCTTCAAATCGAGGTCGCGAGCGAGCAGGTGTTCGAGGTGGTGGCATGGCAGCGTGAGAAAAAGGTGCGGAGATCTGTACCACTCGTCTCGTTCGAGATGTGGAGGACGATATGGAGCGAGACACCAGCCCTCATTGCGGGTGCATGAGCCAGCGAGCAAGCACGGGTGAGCAATCGAGTTGAGAGCTGCGAGCACGTGTATGGTGTTCCGCTGCTGGCCCAGTCATCCATACCCCGCAGGGGGCTTTGGCGCAGAAGCTACCCTGTCTACCTCCGATCAACTTATCATGTCAGCATTGAAAACAAGGATTCAGTGGCACGGCGCCACCGCGTGGGGGTCTCGTTACACTAGCGTTTCCACGGGCATGCCGCTGGTTACGTTGTCGCTTGAGCGAGATGATAGATCCGAGGTGGACGCGATCGGCCGCAGGTTTTTCACGCGTTGAAGCTTCGTCTCCAAGACGCGGACGCGCTGGGCTCCTTGCCTGTCGACGGCATTGCCGACGCCACCGACGATCGTTGTGAACAAGACAAACACCCCGACAAAAACGATCGCAACGATGACGAGGACCAAGAATACTCCGGCAAACTCTCCGTCGCACCCGCGGCAGTCGACGTCAGGGCAATAGCAATCGTTGTGGTACCCACCACCGCGCCCGTGGTTGCCTCGACAACAGTCCACCCACATGGCCACCAACGTCAGGACGCCCGCGACAAATGCCGTCGTGGCCAAACTCACCAAGAAGTATACGAGTAGCCGTGGCAAGTACGGCAAGCCCATGGCGTGGTAGATTTTCCCCCCAAGTGCGTTCCAATGAAGCTGGAATGCCTTGGGCGTCCCTTCGTCGGCGAGCCAGATGAGCAGACTCCCGAGAAAGACAACTCCAAGCGTGAGCCCGAGGCGCCATACCCGTTCGCGAAGGATTTGTTGTTGCAGTCCATCGTCCACTTGGACATTTTGAGTCTCATACGGTGTTCGACACGTCGGGCAGTGCGTCATCGCATGCAGTGTGTTGGACGTGGCGCGCCAATGGTCCAAGCACTGCCGGTGAATGTACGACTGGCACATGCACGGTGCGATCAGCTCGGTGGGAGAAAACACCGCGCCGTGGGTTGAATCGAGGCACAAGTAGCAGTAAGGCTCCTCAGCGATCGTCAACTGAACGTCGTCGCCGACATGCGCATCGTCGGCGCGGGTGCCGCCGTCCTTGGACGTGTCGAGTTGCATCACGCTTCTCTTGCTCGAAACGTGAGATCACCACTCATTGGCTAAAATACACTATTTCGATGTTGCAGAAATAGTGTGTTACAACCAAACAACACTCGCGCGACCAGCGCGACGCTGTCCAAAAGCGAGGAAGGTCAGGCTGGCTGGGTCTCGACAACACGTTTCATCGCTTGGTTGACTGCCGCAAAATGACGCAGCAGCTTTCGCCGCAGGCCTCGCGTCGTTGGGAGCGTCTGCCGCGGCGCTGCGTTCGGGTTACGACAAGGATACAACTTAACTGAATAAACATACATTCCTCATGCTACAGCCTAAAACACGTTAAATCCAAGTGCGGTTTAAGTCGGCAAGCTTACATGCTGCAGGAAATGAGGTTTAACGTGTTGGTAAACAAAAACCGTGTTTAACGCCTCCGTTTAACTCGTATACAAATCCCAAGTCCAAGTTCCAGAATCCAAGTGGCAGAGATTGGAGCGACGAATTAAAATGTATGGGAAACCCAATGCATCTGGATTGATTTTTTATTGCGCGCCGGTTGAAGCCACCACATTGGCACTGGAGGACGACGGGCACGACGGCGATGCACGCGCTTCTCCATGCGGCCCTCGTCAAGTTGCTAGTGCACTCGATCCGCCAAGGACATGTAGAAGGGATTCGATTAGCGATCGAGAAGGCCGTGGATGTCCGCTACGTTGACAAAAAGGGCCGCAACCTCCTGCAGTACGCTTCGTTCTGGACGCTGGAGATGTCATTGGGGCTGCGTTAGGCTTGCCATCAAGCAAGACACAGCGACCCGTATGCAAATGTACGTGATCTTGGCGGATGCGGGATGCGACATCAACCACACAGACTTGCGCGGATGGAGTTGCGTGCATTATGCATGGTACGTCGTTCTTGCGGTCCATCTTGACTCCGCAATCATGGCTGACGATGCTGCCATAGCGCCACAGGAGCTAGCGATGTCTTGATGGATCTACTTCGACGGGACGCCGACGTCGCGCACAACCGATTTGGCTACTGTGGTGAAATTGACCTCCTCTTCCCGCGGATTCTCCACGCACAGAGCTTGCTCCAGCACACCGAACAACTTACACACAACGACCAAGTCCACCAATGCTGGTCCATCTTCCATCGACACATACGTGCCGCGGGCTACAATCTCCACACGCACACCGGCGCGCTTGTCCATCCGTTCAAGTCTCCGTTGAAAGTCTTGTTCGTTGCTCCAGTCGATCACAGCGCGCTCGACCGGATCCGCGTTGTCGATCTCCATGCCGACCTCGCCATTTGGCTGCAACTTTCCAAGACGTTCTTGGTACCACCAGGTAGACTGCGCACGTCGTGTACCTGACGTGACGCCGCATCTAGGGTCGGTTGGGTCCATTACTCTGGACGCAGAAATACTGCATCGCCCGTCTGTCTATCGCATCTACTACGAGCAGCATGTAGCGACGCCGCTGCCCTTGCCACCGCACGCCCTGCGCGCCCTCGAGCACACGCTGTGCGTGAAAGACCTAGATTCGGGAAGGACCGTGTCCGTGCAAGCCGCCAACGACGTTGTCCTGAGTGCCCTCAAGTCGATGCGATCCACTCATGCAGACGTCGTGCTGTCCCCCGAGTACGAACACTGCATGATCGCAATCATGTGGACATGCATGCGATTTTGGAAAATGACGATGATGGCTCGACTGGGTTGGCTGGCGCTTGCGCTCGAGAGTGTGTCATGGGAAGTGGCGGCACGCACCGTTCTTGGCTGGCGGTGGCGTTTTGCGCATGCGAAGGACGTGTCGTCCATCTGCGCGCTCGTCCATCTGCCGACGCGATGTGAAAGCTCGAGACTTGGCATGGAACTCGCGATGTCGGTGTTTGGCAATGTCATGGAGGCTGCAATGTTGGATGGCGTGCTTGATTGTGGCGACGTTGAATTTGACGACATACCAAGTCGGGGTATTCCTTGTCGTGGTTTGACTTTGTGTTGAGAGTTGTGTGCTTGTACTTGGTCACGAGGCGGCGGCGGGCTCTCCTGCTGACATGACGTTGTTCTTGAATGCCGTAGGTCGGCCGCTCAAGAACTGTGCGTTCCGCTTGGTGGCAATGCGGCCCATCCAGACGACGGCGTCGAGTGGAGTGGTGTGCATGACGTCGACAGCAACATCGAGAGCTCTGCGTCGGCGTCGTCGGTCGAGTTTCCAGGCCCGGATGCGTGTGAACAAGGGATGTTGGGAGGAATCTGCGGCGCGGATGACGCGGTTTCTGGTTCGTACCGGTGCGTGGCCATGCTGACCATCTCGGTCGTGATGCGAAATCCACGGCAAACCAAACCCCGCGTCGAGGCAGAGCTGTCGTTGCAATCCACCTCACACTACAACATCACGGTATCGTACACGGGGCACATTGGGCTGACGCTGGAAGGGCTTCCAATGGATGCGACGACGCACAAGTTTCGCCTGGTCGTTGTCGACGTCACCGACGCGTTCGCCCAGCTGTACCCGCAAGTCCAGGTCGGGGATCGTCTCGTGGCGCTCAACGACAACAACACAGAATACGCCGGGCTAAAACACACGGTGTGGGAGCTCAAGGACGCTCGGCGGCCGCTCGTCCTGCAGTTCCAGCGGTCGAGTCCTCACGACAAAGTTGCACGACGCACCGGCCTGGTTGCGCGACTGCGGCATGGCCCTGCCCCGGTCTTGGCTGCTTAACGAC